AGGGAGGGAGGGAGACAGAAAAGGAAGGAAGGGGAAGGGGAGTTGGAAAAAGAAGACAAAGAGTTAAAGATATAGATTACTACTAGACTATTTAATCCCCAAGTCCTCCTGGCAACTTGAATATGTAGTACAAACTGACTTCGAATAGAACTATGCTAACTTCTTGGTGTACCACGAATGCATCTTTCTTTTCATTTTGCAGTGGTAAGTCTCCGTAGCTCCCATAATGTCACCAAAATAGTTTTTTTATTCAATTAGGTTTGTTTTAATTTTACAAAGGGCTGACATAGTTTCCACTTTTCAGACTAGATCCTTAACCTGCTTCTCTATCTGCCAAAAGGGGCTCTGGTGATTGCTGGGCTTATTAACTTCCTAATAACTACCTGATATCTATCATGTAGTCCTAGCCTCTCAATGAACTCCCAAGATCTTTCTATCTTTTGAGCATACACATTTTTTTTTTGGTCTTTTTGAGACAGTGTCTCCCTGTAGCCCCAGCTGTCCTGGAATTCACTATGTAGACCAGGCTGGCCTTGAACTCAGAGATCCGCCTGCCTCTGCCTACCAAGTGCTGGGATTAAAGGCGTATGCCACCACACCTGGCCGAGCACATACACTTTATGTGACCATAATATATAAACAGTTCCTATAAATCAATTAAAGAAAATAATCCGTTACAGAAACCTATTATTACTGTTAACTACTATTGGTATATTGATTTTGCATATGTTTATCTTTCTATTACAAATTAAACATCATATGCTTCTTACTGTTCTCAAGAATGCAAGGAGAAAAGGACTGGGTAGACCTCTCAGAACTACATGAAATTAATGTGTGTAGCAATTCATGTAAGAACACACTGTGTGTGAGATCATTCCTGGAATTTTGCCCTAGGGTTTACCAGGAATGTCTTCCTACAGTCTTAACCATTTGACTATGGCAAGATACTTTCTCCCTTGATGTAAAAGATAATTAAGCCAGATATTGTGATAGTACAGGCCTGTAACTCCAACTGTTTGAGAGACTGAGAGGAGGATCCAGAGTTCATGGTGATCTTGGGTTACAAAGTGAGTTCCAGTGCAGCCTGGGCAACTTAGTGAGACCCTGTTCCCAAAATTAAAAGTAAAAAGAGGGCTGGTGGTATGATTCAGTGGTGCAGTGCTTTTCTGACCAAGTAGAAGGCCCTGGGTCTCATCCCCAATGCTTAAAAAAAATCAATTACTGAGGTAGAAATACAGATCCATAGAAGACAGCAAGCAGAGTGGCGCCTCACCCAGACTCCCGAGTTACTCAGTATTGAACATCCATCTCTGTGCAGTAATTTATTTTCAGTACAACTTTAAACAAAAGTCTTTTATTTAAGCAACGTTTCATTATCATCCCTTCCCTGACCTTTTGCCTGGTGCAATAATGAAAGTTGGGTGAGTCTGTTGCTCAGTGAACAGCTTCAGTGAATTTGATTCCACTTCAGTGTAATTCCATACCGTACCAAAGACGGAGACTTCAAACAAAGCCCTGACAACCATCGCTTCTTGTAACCAGGGACTTAACACCATTTCAGTTTCTCTGCTTTGATCACTTTCATTCACTTATGGCATCTGGAACCTACATACTGAAGGTTGGGCCTGTTCCCAGTGGAATCTGAAAGGACACATTGTCATTTCCATCAGAACCAGAACTAAACAAGCAACAGCTATATCAAAGTAGCCACTGTCTATCATATCTTTGGGGGGCCATAGGATTTGGACATAAAGCCTTCAATTTCTGGTGTGTTTTGCTCTGCAATATGGCTATTTCTAATGCCATATCATGATGCAATTCACAGATAAGTAATATGAAATTATTTAATATAGAAAGCATCCCATTGAGTGATCTAAACCATGTCAAATATTAACTTTGCTAACACCCTGCAAGAATTTCCAAAACCATTAATAATTATCATCATATAGAATCAGAGAATTCATGTCGCCTATGTCAACCTCCCCCCACCACACACACACACACACACACACACACACACACACACACTGCTTCCTCTAGCCATGGATCATAAAAATTTTCCAGAACTGTGAGTCAGCAAATAATACACCCTTGCTGCCTGTAGGTGAGCATCAGCAAAGAATGCCTAGGTTAGGAAAGCGCTTGATACCAAAAAATGGTTGCTGTCTTCAGTAATCTCCAGTCACAGCTTAATGCATCCTTCAAACTGCCTGGCTCTGTTACTTTCAACCACCCCCTCCATATTGCTTTAATGGTGGGGTGATCAGAAAACATAATTTCTAGGAATGACTACCATAGACGTGTGCAATTGTAAAAAACAAACAACTGTATTGTTCTTCGACTCCCACTAGTCAGAGAACCTGCTCGGTACGCTGTCTATACAGATCTTTGGAAGGAAAGAAAACTTGTGCTAACACATGTACCAAACACAATGATAAAAGCAACTTCTCTTTTTTTTTCTTGGAAGAACAAGGAAAACTGAATTTGCTGTTGTTGAATTATGTATATTCACCCAAGCCAGTGGGACCAGGACTCAACACCTGCCTACCTCACACCAAGTAGTTTACAGGTCATTTCTGTGAAGTTAGTCTTTTCTTTAAATAAATGTCATTCTTCAGAACTGGTATTTGCTCACTGAATGCAGCAGACAACATAAAAGTAACATCTGGTCAACCTCAGAAAACATATGAGTAAAGGAATGTATCATTGGCTAACCGATAACCTGGTCAAGATAAACTGATAGCTAAGATATGACCCAATCAATATGAACCAATGAGATGGATTATGAGATATCAGATTAACAACCTACATTAAATCAACCAAACAACCCATTGGCTAAGTACCCAACATGAGATCAGACCAAGAAGGCCAGTAGTTAATAGATCAACTTCAATGAACCAATTAAATTGTCTACTACTGAAGAAATGACCAAACGGATCATACTTAAGCAGAGAGGACAACCAAGCAAAAGCCTGAGGTGCAAAACCCAGCATCACACTAAACCGATGAACTTTCTGACTAATTCATGGAGATGCTCTTCAATGACCCAGAACCCAGATGCATACCGGCTGGCCATGTGACAGCTGCCTGGTCACCTCACAGACCAGAAGTGGCCCACGCACCCATACTTACGGAGATTATTTATGGGGGTTCTCGTGTCCATGTTCTCATAATGCTGTACATGGACGACAATATTGAGGTCTCTCTCCATGTGGTCCATGTTGCAGTGGCCCTGTGGCCTCATGACATCAGCAAGGGCTCTGGAAGAAGAAAGAATTGAACTCTGTTCATTCAGAACACAACAGTATATAGCTGCCATGTGCTAAGCACTGCCTCACTGGACAAAAGACAAGGCCGTTCCCTCCAGAAAGCCCCATTCTGGCTAGGGGTGGGACAGAGAAAAACACAGAAGCCATAAATGAAGTCACTGTGATCAGAGGTTACATAGTCACTTTACATGCCAGTTACTGACATCATCTACCTCCCACTGAGGGAGTTAGATGATGAATCCATGCAGTGTGTCTCCACCCCAGAGGCTGAGTTCTCTCTTTATGTCTAACACAGATGCCAACACTTCATGCTTAGCAATGACCCAATATTAGTAACAATAGCTAACATTTACTGGGTACTTACCATAAGGCAATCATTATGCTAACCCCACCGCATGCCTTACCTAAGCAAAAGAACACAGAACTCTTTGTGGGCTTATGAGGATTGTTACTCCTTTTTGAAAAGCAAACAAATGTTCAGAGTGGTGAGTTAAACTGCTCAAGGTCACACATCCCATGTGTAGAGCAGGGATTTCAACAAATCTTATCTTTTTACCTATCTAGCTTTTTCTCTTTTTAAGAGGATGGAAACACAATTTGTCTGATGTCAACTATCATCATGATGATATGTGAGCTTAGGAGAACAGTTCAGTTGAGCACAGCAAAGACAACTGTCACACAGATATCACACCCCAAGGTCAGACCTACTAGTACATCTCCCCTCTTATTTATCCTCCATGATGTGTGTATTTAGAGAGATACGCAAAAATCCTTAAAATGTATGTAATACTATAAGCATTGTTTCTATGCATTCCTCCCTGTACATATGAGATGTTTTGAGCCTCATTCTGTATCTCTCTTTGCTCATGTGGCATGGGAGCCAGGTACAGTGTTAGGGCAGTTGATTTTAACCCTTGAAACCATGGCGTGGTGTACCACCCTCTTCAGTCCTGTAGAAATGACTGCCTTTGTGTGCAACCCTAGCAAGTATAGGAACCAACCAACTTGACTAGATGCTAGCTACAAACATGCAAGTGTTCTGCGACAAGCCAGCAGACTCTCAACTCTGGTTCTCATCTCCATAATTATGAACACCCAACTGGTATCAAGCCCCTGGCTCCAGAGACCAACTCTGCAATGGATATCATCTCATTACCCTCCTCTTGGACCAAGGAGGGGTACAGACCCATGAGCTGAATTACCTGTTTTAGGGAATACACCATCTGCTCCCAGTCAACCAGACCCTCAGGATTCACATTAGAGGAGACAGAAAAAGGATAGGAACTGTTTGGGGAGGCCCATTTGGACTCCCGTGATCTCAACAGTCCAAGTCTATCTGCTGAGACTGACTCCACAACAGCAGTGATGCTCACAGAACCTGGGAACTTGAAGAGATGTTCTAGATCCATCCAGATCCAGAGGGTCAGAAGCACCAGAACTGGGATGCATGGAAGGTATCTTCACAGGCCCTCTTGTGTGTGTCTGCCTTACACTCAAACTCAACTGAGTATGTTCTAGGGCACTAGAGAACCCACATGAGGTAATGTTGGATCATGATTCAGTGATAGGATGTGATAAAAAAACCACAGCTGCAAAGAAATCTCTGAAAAGAGAGAGACCCAGGGCAGCAGAGCCAGAGGCCTGCATGAATCAGAGGAGAAGACAGAATCTACTGAGAGAGGAGAATAACAACAGTTCTCACACATTTGTTCATTCAACAGATGTTTATTGTCTACAAAGTGCCATGCACGACACGAGGCCCTGGGAATATAGCACTGCACAAGCTGAACGAGGTCTTGGCCTTCCTGCAGCTTACACTCTATGGGAGAGAATAAAAATAAATATGTTAAATAAAAATAAGCAAGAGCTGCAATCAACATACTTAAACAAAGAACATTTCAGCCAATAGAGCTGGGCACCACAACATCATTTTCCACAACAGCCAAAAAGTAGAAACCATTCCAGTTTTCATCAGCTGATGAGTAGATATCAGAATGTGTGTTATGAAATGGAATATTACTCAGCCATAAAGAGAAATGGAGCCCTGGTAACAGCTGCAACATGAATGAAACTTGAAAACATTTTGACCAGTGCAAGAAGGCAGACACACAAAGCTCTGGGTTATATGATTCTGTTTATAACAAATGTCCAGAATAGACAAATCCATAAAGAGAGAAAGTGGATTCAAGTTGCCAGAGGCTGAGGGTGGGAGAGAGAGAGGATTGACTGATACAGGAGATTGTTTTAAGGGTAATAATGCATCATTAGAATTAGTGGCCTGAAGTAAATTGGTGGTGGTGCTCATTGCACCATGTTGGGAATAGAATACAAATTACTGAACTATATATGTTCTTTAATGAGAGAGAGAGAGAGAGAGAGAGAGAGAGAGAGAGAGAGAGAACTTTATAAAAGAAGTAAGACTTGATATAGCTTGGATCTGGACTGTCCCTCAAAGATCCAAGTTAAAGGTTCTGTCTCTAGCTTCACTCGATGGCCCATAGTGGGGGCTTTAAAAGGCAGGAAGAGTTGCAGGTCTTCTAGTCACACTTTATAAAAGAAGTAAGACTTGATATAGCTTGGATCTGGACTGTCCCTCAAAGATCCAAGTTAAAGGTTCTGTCTCTAGCTTCACTCGATGGCCCATAGTGGGGGCTTTAAAAGGCAGGAAGAGTTGCAGGTCTTCTAGTCACTGAGGGCATGCCATCAAAGGGGACTGTGGACTCTGGCCTCTTCCTCTTTCTCTCTTTTTGCTTCTCTGGCCATGCTGAGAACACTTTTGCTCCACCACATGCTTCTGCCAAGGCATGCTGCCTCACCACAAAGGTCAACCCACCAGGGATCGAAACCTCCAAAGCTGTAAGCCAAAATAAACCGTTTCTCTTTATAAGTTGTATAGCTCTGGCGTTTGTTACAGGAGCAGAAAGCTGACTTGTACACATGAGGAGATGGAAAGAGCACATCAAGCAGAGCACACAGAAAAGTGCAGTCTCTGAGGCAGGAAAGAGGTCAGATATTTGAAGAATAAGCAAGAAGGGAAACAAAGCTGGAAGGGGCAAACAGAGAGGGGAACACTGCAAAGTGTGAATGGTCGTGACCCGTTTTACAGAGTGAAGAACTGCCCGTGTGAGCCCTGCTCACTGCTGAAGGCTTGAGTGGAGGCATACTCTTGAATGTCTTTGGAATTAAAGTTCAGGCTCCTTCCTACCTCTGTACAATAGACATAGTCCAGAAACTCAGAAGGGCTTCAGGGAATGGGAGTTCTGAGACAGAGGACAGGGGCCTTGCAAACCTAACTTGCCTTTTTCACTTCTAAACAGGTTCTTCATCCTGAGCTTCAAAGGAGCGCTGAATTCCTCTGTAATTGAATGGAAAATTTGTTTGTGCGTTTTTCTCGAGCAAAAAAAACATAGCTTTCATCAGATTCCCCAAGAGGTCTCCCCCCAAAACACCAAAATATTCAAGCTTTCCAGATGCTAAGCAAGTCAAGAATTGGGTGGGGTGGCGACCTTGAACATGGTGGGCACTGCCACCCACAGATCTCTGGGCTGCTTCTGGGTACTAGGAATTATAATATTCTAGCCTCCAAGCCCCAGGATCCCTTTCTCCCAGGGCTGCCATTCTCAGAGTCTGCAGTACAAACAAGAAGACCCAGAGAACTCCATGTGCTGGAGGAGGAGCATCCAAGGCATGGTAGGCAAGCTCAAGGACCGCATGAAGTGCTCTAGTATGGAAAAAGGAGATGTCAGTATGTCAATGTCTGGCCTTTAGGCACTAAAAACCAGAAACCAATTCTGTGTGTTGTCACTGCTGTCTGCACTTGGAAAACTACATCAGATGATACAGAATGGCAGGAATCAGGACTGAGGAGCAAGGAAGATGACTGTCAGAGGCACCCTTATTAGACCCCTTACTGCACTGCAGTTATATGCGCCCCAAAGAGGAGGTACACATTCAACTATATACTTTTGATCATGCTAATTATCACAAGGCAGGCATGTGGCTTAAAGAATATCCTTCCTATACAAAACCACAATCTGAAGACAGTGCTGGTAATATAAGCACAGGAACACAGCACAGGTCAGCTCAGTGTGGTGGTGCACACCTGTACTCCAAGCAATGGGGAGGCTGAGGCCGGAACACGCTGAGTTTGAGGACACTCCAGACTACATAGCTATGGAGCTCAAGGCCATCTTGGAATACATAATGACCCTGGAGAGAAAGAGAACAGGGAGAAGGGAGAGATAAAAACCAGAGAGGGAGAAAGGGAATGGAGGGCGATTGTAAGATGAAGGGAGGGAGGGAAAAGAAGGTAATGGGTAAGGAGAAAGAGAGGAGAGAGGGGAGAGGAGAGGAGAGGGAAGGGGGAGAGGGGGGAACAGAGAGAGAGAGAACAGGACAGGGCTAGTCCTTTCAGATCCAAACAAAATCAGCCCAAAATCATCTGAACTCTCCTGAAGAGCATTTAAAATGTGGACTTAATTATTCATAAGGAATGTTACCTTCAGGGTATGTGCTGGATACCTTTAGTTGTCAATCTGACGCACCTAGGTAGTAGGAGGCTCAGTTGGTGAATTGCCTCCATTGCACTGGCCTGTGGCCATGTCTGTGGGGCATCTTCTTGTGTATTGAGTGATGTGGGATGGCCCAGACCACCATGGGTGGTGCCACCCCTGGGTAGGTGGGCCTCTGTTGTATAAGAAAGCAGGTTAAGCATGGGCCAGGGGAACAAACCAATAAGCAGCGTTCCTCAGTTGCCTGTGCTTCAGCTCCTGCCTCCAGGTTCCTGTCGAGTTCCTACCTTGGATTCCCTCAGTGATGAACTGTGACCCAGGAGATGTAAGCTAAATAAACCCTTTCCTCCCCAAGTTGGTATTGGTCAGTGTTTTGTCACAGCAATGAAGAAACAAACTAGAACAGCGTACATGGAAGTCACCACAAATAACTACAGATTTTAAAATAATGTTCATTCCTTACCTTCCACACAGCTTAAA